TCCATCCTGATACATCATCTTTAGTCAGAAAGGTAGGAAATGACACTACAGGGTCATGTCAAAAGGACACAGTAGCCAGCTTCTGGGAGCTCCCACAGCTGGCCATGTTTGGGATAATTTGAGTATTGAAAAATGTAATGTTGCTTATTCCCTACTGAGGAGGGAAAGGTCTTCTTTATAAAATACCACTTAAAGAGAAAAAATACTTATAGAATTAGATAATCAATATTCTGTAACCTGAAAAGAAAGAATTGATTCTGGATGAGTAAATAGATAACTAAAACATTAGTGAAAGTTTGGTTGGTAACACACATTTGTTTATTTGATTACTTGTTTATTGCAAAGGGAAACCTATAATGTTACAACAGAGAGACTTAAAAGTAGAGACCTTAACTAAGAGAACAAGCTGAGCATCAATAAGTCTGGGGCAACTTAACGTTAAATGACTCCTAATGGGATGGAATACAACCTATACAATATCGCTAATGAAGTAGTTTTGCCAAAACATTTAACCTGAATCTAACCAAGATTTTATATCTGATTTACGAGTTACAGCAAACACACAGGACAGAAAAAATGACTTAAGCAGCATTGTGAGGATATGCTCAGCAAATCCAGAATGTACAATATTCCACAAAATGATGGTTGGTCTCTTAAAAGTCAATATGGTTGAGGGCAAAAAAATAAATGTGGTTAAACAAAAAACAGTGTGGACAAGTGTGCACATGTATATGTGAACAGGCGTGCACACACAGGGCTCCTCTGTACTAAGACATAGCACAGACCCCTGACAACCAATAGAAATGTGTGAACCATTGGATACTCTTTGGAGAAAACCTACATTAAAAATGTGACAAATCCAAGATATTTGAATAGGCACTGTTTGGATCATATGGTTCAATTGTCCATTTTCTTGACTGCAATAAGTGTATTAAGGCGATGCAGCAACAGGTGCTTATTTTTACCAGATGCCAGATTAAAGAGAGCTGGCAGTGTAGTTCAGTAGTACATACTTAGCATGGGAAAAAAGATTTATACAGAGGTTGGACAAAGGATCTCAAATCAGTAAGGAAGAATAAGTTCTAGTGTTCTACAGTACAGTAGGGTAGATTGCAGTTTTAAGCAACCTGTTCTCTATTTTATGAAGAATTAAAAGGGAAAAAATTAAAGCCTCCAAACACAAAGAAGTGATAAGGACACAGAAATGTTAATTTTACTAATTTGATCATTAAATATTACATTCATGTATTCACATTGTGCCCATAAATGTCTACGAATGCATCAATTAAAGTTTTAAGAATAAAATTAAATAAAGATAATATTTTAAAAAATCAAGAAAAAAGGGAATAAAATTGCCAGTAGTTCTACCTACAGAAGAATATAAGAAAAAAAAGTAAGAATAATTATTTAGCAGTGAACTTCTGAGGTCTGCAACTTATTTTCCAATGGTCCAGTTTTTAAAAAGTGTACGTTTACAAATACACGTGGAAATAAGGGACATTTTTATAAAGTTAATGTGAAAGTGTATGAACACTGTATGACTAAAATTTTTCATAATAAAAATTTTGGGTTAAATGTGAAAAAAATGAAGTTATAATGATAGATCTAAAAATAGAAATGACTGAACTAGAAGAAATTTAAAGGAAATTTATTCAATAAATTTGGAAACAGATTCTTTGAGAACAATAAATAGACAAAAGTCTTGGCTACTTTGAGATAAATAGTGACAAGGCAAAGTTAACATTAGGAAAAAGAAAAAAGGTGTAACAAAAGATATGGAAATTTACAAACTTTATCAAAACGACAAAAAAAAAAAAAAAACAACCCAAAAACCACTGACAAGATGTCAAGGAAAGGGAACTTTCATCCACCGATAGTGGGAATGTAAACCAGTACAGTTATTTAGAAGAGAAGATGGAGGTCCTCAAAAAAATAGTTAAAGAGGCTGGGACATGGCTCAAGTGGTAGAGCACCTGCCTAGCAAGCAAAAGGCCCTGACTTCAAAGCCCGATACTGCCAAAAAAAAAAAGTTAAAGAAAGAGCTACAGAACTACCAAATGATCTGGCAATACCAATTTGGGGTGTACAAATCCAATGGTAATGAAATCAGTAGGTCAAAAAGACATTTAAGACTCCCATGTTTATTGTAAACTATTTCCAATAACCAAGATATGGAATCAACCTAGGTGTCCACTGATGAATGATGGGATAAAGAAAACATGGAACATAAACACAAGGGGATCTTATTTAGCCATAAAAAGAATGAAATCCTGCCATTTGCTGTAACATGGATGGAACTGGAAGACACTATGTTAAGTAAAATAAGATAGGCACAGAAAGACAAATACCACATGTTCTCACTCATGTGTAGAGGGTACAAAGTTGATCTTAAAGATGTAGAGAATGGAATTGTGGCTACCAGAACCTGGAAAGGGGATAAGAGTGTATAGAAAGGATGGTTTCTGGTACAAGGGTACAGCTGGGTAGGAGGACTGACTTCTTATGTTCTATAGAATAGTGAGAATAACTATGTTTGACAATTGACTATTTCAAAATACCTAGAAGATTTTGAGTGTTCCCCAAATAAGGAAGCAACAAATGTCTGAGGTGACAGATATGCCAATTATTCACCACACAGTGAATACAATTCAAAATATCACACTGTACCCCCAAAATATTCAGAATTACTACATGTCAATTAAATATAAAATAACATTTAAAAAATAGAACTAGGTACTGGGGATATAGCCCAGGGGTAGATGTATGCTAACATGTGCAAAGTTCTGGGTTTGATCTCAGCAAGACAAAAAATAAATTAATAAGCCAGGTGGTATGGCTCACACCTATAATCCCAGCTGCTGGGGAGGCAGAGGTCAAGAGGAACTCAGTTTGAAGCCAGCTCAGGCAAGTAGTTTGGGAGACCCTACCTTGAAAATACTCAACACAAAGAAGGGCTGGTGGAGGGGCTCAAGAGATAGAGCACCTGCCTAGCAAGCCTGAGGCCCCGAGTTCAAATAATAAATTAATAAAATAGTAAAAAAGTTAAATTAAGGGAGCAATTGTTGGTGCCCAGCATAACTGTGCCTGGCATATAACAAGCACTAAATAAAAACCAACTCTTGCTAGTTGGGTGTGATGGCTGACCTGTAGTCTTGCTACAGGATTACTTGAGCCCAGGAGTTCATGGTCATTCTAGGCACAATAGTGAGACCTTGTCTCCAACACAAAATCAAAAACAAAACTATTGTTTTTTTTCTTCTTTCCTTTGTCTTGTCTTTCAGTGATTCACAGTGAGAGAATTATAAGCTGTGGTCACTGGAGTTGAAACATACACTTTTTTTTGGACCTAAGTAAAGAAACTTCGAGCATAAAATAACTTACTTCCCTCCCTTTAAGTCTCAATCAGACAAGTACAGCAGTACTGTACTTGGTAAGGGATCAATGAACACTATTTTTTTTTTAACTATACTCTAGTTCTATGAAGAAAGACCCTTGCACTGATATTCACAAATTTAGAAAAACAATCACAATAATGCAAAATATTTACTATCACTAAACTTTACACTTTGAAAAATGGCTAAAATGGGACCTTTTATGTTATGGATATTTTAGCACAATAAAAAGCTTAAAACCCATACTAATTTGAAGAACCTCCAATTAAAAACTGATGACTTATTGCTATTTTGATTGGCTAATTACACCAAGCTACCCAAAATTCCAGATCAAGCCCAACTTACACATCAGCAGTGATGTGGGGGCCTCTGCTTACTGCTTACTAAGTAAGGATTCTAGAGCTGGCAGAGGGGCTCAAGTGTAAGTACAGGGCCTGCCTAGCAAAATTAGTATTCTATTTACAAATTAGTATTCAAAAAAAATTAGTATTCTATTTACAAATTCATTTTTACTTCTTCCAGAACCTGGGGTTTCAAAATTATTGAATAGTTCTCTACTTACACCTTTATTCCTTGCATGTAGGTCACCAAACAATGGTTTATATTGTACAGATACGAGTAAAAACAAATACAGACGTTTTACTGTCACAGAGCTCCTAAGAATGTGACGGAACCTGTATGTGAAATATTTAATCACGGGACCCTAACATATCCTACAGCATACCGTTACTTAAAAGTTAATATTTTTAAAGTGATTGGATAGGACGGTTATTAAGGTAGACCTTGTCTCCACTTGGGGCAGTGGATGGCCTGTATCTAAGATCTAAGCCACAGGATGTACTTAGCCATTTTGAGGACTGGATTGGTCCCAGCTCTGGGCAGCTGAACGAGCCTGAAGATTAAGAGTGGAGAACCAGACGAGCTTGCTGAGAGTTTCAGTGACCTTGGGGAGCGAGAGTGCTTTCTCTCTCTCTCCCTCTCTCTTTTAACTAGGACAGAAGTGCACCATATCAGAGGAGTCAATACGAGAGTTAAAAGCAAAGCCTCTAGATTGCAAAGACTGTGTTTCATATATAAACAATTAAAGAGCTAAGGAATAACAGGGAAAAATAAAACACAAAGTTTTACACAAGTTCTCGTGGCTAGTGACATAGCACTTACCAAAGCAGACCAGTTTATTTCCAGTCAGATTAGTTCCTAGGAAATTAAATCAAGAAAGCAAATGCAGTAGAGGTTTGATTTTTCTGTCACCATCATATTCTGCTCATAATTTGCCATCTATAAGCAATAATTTGAATTTTATCACTTTTTAAAACATCTTCCTGTATGCTAATCAATGTTTCAGTTAACAGTTTTTTAAATGCCCTTCTTAGTGAAAGTAAAATTTATTTCCGGCATTCTAAATCAGCTTATTTGGATCACTGAAAATTGCAGTTTCAGAAGAAGGTATGTTTGCCTTCTTCAAACCTGGATCAAAACAAAGGCTAAAACCCAGCGTAACCTGGGTGACTTTTCAGATACAGCTCTGCTTCTACATCCTAGTAATTTCAGGCAGTAGGAAGTGGAAAGAAACACGATGATATGAACAGCAAAACTCCACTAACTTACTGAAAGAAATTTGGCCCAAATACAGTGGCGAGGCTGTGAACACTCATGCGGTTCTGCACGTGGTGCCTGGCGACTTTTGTCAGGAACCGGCAGAGGTACTTGAGGAGGTGGTAGTGGGTGTCTGGCAGCGCTCTGATTAAGTCTCTTAAGCTATTCCCCCGAGCATCGTCTCTGCCATCTGGAAGAAAAGAGGGATAAAAAATGTTCTCAGGCGTATTTCACAGACAACAACAAAAGCACAGATATAATAAGTCCAACTCTTTTATTCAGAAAAAAAAAAACTCCTTGGAGACTGAGATAGGCATTGAGTTTTGGTATTTTTTTTTAATGAAGAAGAATTACTACCTTATTCAAGAAATTCTGAAATCCCTGAGTGTTATTCAACACATAAAATGGGCTAGTGCTTCAATTTTATGTGTTCTTCCTGAAATTAAAATAATGATTAGGTTTTTTTAAGGTATAATGGAGTCTTCCATTTGATACGTGTCTTTGAGTTTGTAAAAAACAAAAATCTCTTGGTTGAATTTGTCACGAGGGACACTGAGCTTGGTGACCAGGGTACTATGTACAGAGAAGACTAAAGGAAACTTAATTCCTACACAGCCTGGTAAGCTTGACAGCTTTTCTCCTTGACCAAACTTTAGTCAATCTCCTCAGAGCAATTTTCCATGGAAGCTCCACCTTGGACATGTTCCCAAGAGCCTGGTCTAGCAGAATCCTGCTAAGTTGGGCTACCCAGAATCCCCCACCTTTGCGATCTGATCACCCTCAGATATTAGCTACTGACCAAGTACTCAACTCCCAGCATCCTTAGAAGATGTCTCCTCATGCTGGCCTGCCTTTGGCAAGAATCCAATAAGGTAGGTTTAGCTACCATCCCCTCTTAACCCTGTTGCTTCCTCTTAGTAATTTTCTATCCACTATCCCAATTCTTCCCTATAAATTCCCACTTTTCATTGATTATTTCAAGCTGAGCCCAAACTCTGCCCCCTTCTGCAAAACCCCAATGCTGCAGTAGACGCTATTACAATAGTGTTGAATAAAGTTCGCCTTACCCTTCTATAATAAGCATCAGAAAGAATAACTTTAATAAACTTTAGCTGTCACACACTAAGCTCCCCTATTGGAGGTTTTGCTGTCCATATTTTCAAATACTCTCTGTCAACTGCAGTCTGAAAATATTAAGTGAAAACTCTCAGAAACAAACAATTTGTAAGTTTTATGTAACTTTGATCACACTATATTGACATAATTATCCTGTTTTATGACCAATGTTGTAAATCACTTACTGTGCCTAATTTATAAGATAAACTATATCACAGATATAAATGGGTAGGAAAAAACAGTGTTATGGGGCACTACTACTTGTACTACCTGTGGTTGCCGGCATCCACTGGAGGTCCTGGAATGCACTCCAATATATAAGGGGAGAGCATTGCTGTAGTTCAGAATATGTGACTCTCCTACAAAAATCTTGTATGCAGCCCAAAATGTGTGATTGTGCCATCAGAAGCACACAAATGAAATGTTTCCTGGAATTCTTGGGATTTATTTTGCCAATGCTTAATGTGGGAAAGTTGCTCACTTATGTAACTTTGTGTTCTGCTGTCTGTTAAGAGGAAAACACAAATCTTCCATAGTGACTAGCTCAGGGACAATAATAATATATCCCTTTAATGGACATTTAAGAGAATGAAAATTTAACTAAGATACATTATTATACAGATTAGATTCCTTAGCTAGATCAGCTGTAGTCAGTCAAGCAAGTAAGGAACACAAGAGTGAGGCAAATGAGATCCAAAGGAAGATGAGGCAGTTATGAAACACATGTGACCTAACTCAGTGCTGCGGACAGGAAGCGGGCCCACAGATGACACACAGAAAGTCACACATGGGGAACTGAGTGGCTGCAGAGCATAGGATGAGAATGCAACTCAGGATCTACTCCTGGGTGGGGACCCTGATTCTCTACCTCCTCCCTATGTGACCTAAGTGGGATTGTTTATGATGACATTATTTCCACTGCAGTATAACCCTTTTTTTTCTCTTCTTATTATATTATTATTATACTGAGGGTACGCTGTGACATTTACAACATTTCTTCCAATTTATCATAGTTGAATGCACCCTTCCATCATTCCCCTTTATCCCTCCCTCCCCCATTCCTGGAATAGTTTCAATAGGTCTCATCTTTCCATTTTCATACATGAGTACATAATATATCCACATATTCACCCTCTTCACCCTTTCCTTTATCCTCCCACTGGTACCAACCCCCACCCCTAGGGAGGAACTGTTTTACCTTCCTGTTCTCCATTTTTGGAAAAAGGTATTTGTGTTTGTTTAACATAGACCTAAAGATCCTTGTGACATTTCCATGTATTGTAACTCAAATTGGTTCATGCCTTCTGTTTTTGGCAGTATAATCTTAACTAGCAAGGAGACATAAGAAGTGGAAATCGTTAAGTTTGAGGAGGTTAAAAACAGAAGACTACCCATGGTTTTTAATAACTTTATAGTATAAAAAAAATAAAGAACTGTGAACCTGTTTTTCCTTTTCTCTTGTTTTATGGTGACTAACCCAAAATGAGCCTGGATGTTTTTATGGTATGCGCTACCTGTTTTAAAATCGTGATCCAATCCCAGCATTTAAAGAAATAGGTAACTCAGTACTCCAGGTTCTTGATAATGTAATTGATAATGGGCTTTGGCCTTCTGGCTTTAAAATGAAACCTTACGCTCTCAGGCAGGTAATGTGTGAAGACCAAGGATCAAATAAAACCAATGTGCAGAACAGTTATACACCTATGACAATATGTTTAAAAAAGAAGTTAGCATTTCATCATTTACTTCCAATTTCTGAAAGATGATCAATAGTTCTTCAGGAAATAAAACTAACAAATAACGGGAAGGGAGACAGATACACTCAAAGAATTACATGCTGAACAAAATAGCATGAAACCCTTTGTGGCAATAATGGAAGAATCAATAAATATATTCTCAAAAGACAAAAGTAATTGAGAGGCCAAGCATAGTGGGACATTCCTGTAATCTTAAGACTCAGGAAGCTGAGGCAGGAGGATTTTGAGTTTGACGCCAACCTGATCTACATAGTAAGACCCTGTCTCAGAAAAGCCAAGCCAAACCAAAACAACAAACAAAGTAAAACATGAGTAACTCAAAAAAGAAATACAGACCTCTACCACTTCCTATACAAAAGCATTTCCATTTGCTACAATGGAAGACAGATTCATGGATTCACTCATTGGACATTAGTGGCTTTGACAGAAGTATACTCATGCTTGACCCTTAAATATTTATAATACACCTCCCAAATCTCTGTTCGAATATATTGACAGTAAAGACCGTAACTTATTAACATGACATTTCTTCTCACCTCATTTCCTGCTGATTAAGTATGTGCTAACTTACTGTGAATCCATAATTGGTACTATTTCCAGAAATATGTGATAAGTATCACTATTGCCACCAGCCGGCAGGAATCCTCTAGCCAAGACCTTCAGTGAGAATCATGACTGCTCAACACCTTCAAAGGTGGCTTATAGAGGAATGAGCATGGGCAGTACAAATGGGCTTATTAAGGAAGATGCTTCCGGACTGGCAGAGTGGCTCAAGTGGTACAGTGCCTGCCTAACAAGTGTGAGGCCCTGAGTTCAAACCCCAATACTGAAAAAGAACTAAGTTGCCTTCTGACACTTTTGAGTAACAAAAATTCAGGGTTCATGAGTTGAATTCTCCTTCTCCAAAACACTTGGGACCCTAAGTTAAGGTTTTTTTTTAAATTTGCATAACACGATGAGATGTCTCAGGAATAGGATCTGTGACTAAATATGAAAGTCACGTTTCATACCTTATACACAGCACTAGGTAATTTCATACAGTGCTCTGTATTGTATGTGTGTTTAGACTATAACCCAACACATGAAGTCACATGTGGAATTTTCCACTTCTGGCATTATAAGGTAACCAAAAAAATGCTGGATTTTGGAGCCTATCAAATTTTGGATTAAGGATTGTGCAACCTAGAATTACTTGATTAGTTGCATTACTTTTTGATTTGCTGGTATCAAAACACTCCTTTATTCATTTTTGTTCTGGTGTTTTTATTAGTAATTACAATGGCTTCCTTCAATGTCTCACAGCATAATAAGAAAGAGTTAGCAATGCTTCTCTTTTGATGTACATTGATACATAATTGACATTTATTGTATATTCCATATGAGGTTTATCAAATACTTTCTGTGTCTGACATTCTCCAACACCAAGACACAGCACTAAACATAGCAAAATTCATGCTTTTATGAAACTTTCTAATGGAGGGGAAGACAGAAGAGAATGAAATCAATTAAAAATATATATGCAAAGTAGTTTCGTGTAAGTGCTAAGAAGAAACATAAAGGAGAGGAAGGAGATAAGCAGGGTTGTGCAGGAACATTGTCACGAGGCCTACTGAGAATGGGACACTTAAGCAGAGCTCAAGAGAAGAGAAAGTAAATCTAGGTAGAGGACACGGCAAGTGCCAAGGCCCTGAGGTAGGTTTTGAGCCTGGTGGTCAGAGAGAGAAGAATAGCAAGGGATAAAATCAAGAAGTGATTCTTAGGTTAAGGGAAGATCATTATAGCCTTATTATAAGCCAGTCATATTTTTTTCCCTGAGTGAGGATTTAGGGCTATAGAGACAGACAATCTGTTTTAAAGGATGTCTTCAGCTGCTGCACTAAGCCTAGACTACACCAGAAAGCAGGGAGACTATAAGTGAAAAATACAAGTAGGAAATACTCATTCAGGGCTGACAGTGTGGCTCAAGAGGTGCATTTTACTTGCCTAGCAAGCATGAGGCCCTGAGTTCAAACTCCAGTGCCACCAAAAAAAAAAAAAAAAAAAAGGTCCCTGTCCCTGAGTCTGAGTTCAAGCATCTTGTGAGACCCCCACCCCCAAAGCCTTGCATATCAAGAAATCATTTTAATAGAGTGATACATGTTTTTAAGACACAGGAACATGAATTAGTGTAGGAATAAGTGAGCTCCACCCCATAAATAAATTTTAAAGAAATGTGGAACAACTGGTTCATTTACGGAACTATCTGGTGTAGACATTATGCAGGAATTAGACAGCAAACAGTACTTAAATGATAAGAAAAGAACCATTGGAAGCTGTA